GTGTGCTGACTGACCACCCCTCTCTGCCTGGCCACACTGTGTGCTGACTGACCATCCCTCTCTGCCTGGCATGGGGACACAGGAGGTATCAAACCAATGTCAGGTGCGACAGGCAGGCACTCTTCCTGTGAGAAGCCTGAGGTGCAGAACGGCAGGCGGCAGCACAGAGAAAGGGTGCGGCTGCTTGGGTGAGTGTGCACGCATGCACATGTGAGCACACTGGGGCTCAGGGTCAGAAGGCGGCGGAGGCAGGAGAGTCCCGAGCGGGAGACATCTGGGCAGGGGTCCCCGAAAGGGCAGCGGGGACATGGAGAACGTGGAGCCCAGCTAATGCCGTCCTAGGAGGAGAAGCGGGATTTCTGGCAAGCGCCCAGCAGATCTTGGTACTGGGGTCCCCAGAAGCCCCCACAAGACTCACTGCACGCTGAGACCCTACAGCTGATGTCTATGTGCTTTGTGGGTTTTAGGGGACCCTGCCCTGGGACACCCCTGCCTGTTCACTGAGCAGCTGGCTGCCGGCTTCCTGGCCAGCCCCTTACCAGTTCTGTCCACTCCTTCTCGGCTCCTGGCACGAGGGACCCGGGGCTCGGGTGGGGCAGCTGGTTCTCCGACACATGGGCCAGGCCCAGCCTGGGGTCCTCGGGCTCGGGGTGCCTCGCTCCTCTCCTGCTCCACTGAGGCAGTGGCGTTGAGCCGAGCCCGAGCCTGGGGCTGCGGTGCTGGTGGGGCCTGCGGGCCTGCGGGGCTCAGTGGCGGGGTGCTGGAGTCCATCCTGCCTGTGGGAAGAACAGAGGGTCAGATGCATGCTGGGCTCCAAATGCAGCCTACTCAGCTTTCGTGTCTGGGTGCAGATTCCAAATCCCAATACTCAGGAGGCTGAGGCAGGAGGATGTCCAAAAGTTTGAAGCCAGCCTGGGCTATAGTGAGTTCAAGGGCAGCCTGGACTACTACATAGCAAGACTGTTTAAAAAAAAAAAAAGAAAAAGAAGAAAAAAAATGAGGGCTGGGGAGATAGCTTGGTGGTCTAAACACCTTCAGGGCAGGTACAAGGTCCTGAGTTCAATCCCCAGTACCGTATGCCGTGCTAGCCCAAAACTGGGCATAGTGCCACACACACACCTGTAATCCCAGTGCAAGGGAAACTGAGACGGGGGATCACTAGAGTCTGAACTGCATAGTGAGAGCCCATATCAACCAACCAACCAACCAATCAATCAATAAGAAAAGAAAAGCAGAGAAGGGCGGGGCTGACAGGCACTGTGGCATGTGAGCCTGACTGCGCTGCAGGGCCAGCCAGGTTACAGGAACCGAGGCATGGTAGCCTTAGGCCCCATGGCCCCACCTCCCCCCGAGAAGCCACACGAGTGGCCCTGCCTGAGAAATGGGGAGACAATGCTTGAGACTCACAGACAACCCTGACAGGGCACTGAGCTCAGGACCCAGCTGTGACCAGAACAGGGTCCCCAGTGGTCTGTCACCCAGCATCTGTGAAAGTGAATTTACTTGGAAAAATGGGTTTTTGCAGATGTAATTAAGTTGAAGATCTTGAAATGCGATCATTCTGGACTTGGGAGGGCCTAACTTCAGCGACTTGTGTTGTTGTAAGAGACACAGAGACAGGTACCGAGCGCTGACGGCCACCACAGTCACTGGCTGCTCTGTGTGAAGCATGAATTTCTGTCGCTTTAGCTACCAAGCTCTGGTGCTTTCTCACAGGGGATTTGGGAAGCAAATACCCTGATACAGAGCGCAAGTTAACAGATGTGACGGAGATGCGGGGAGCGAGGCACACAGCCGTGAAGAAGTCCAGATTACCCCCCAGTTTGCTGGCCCCAGGACCTCTCACAAGGCCCTGCACAGGGCAAAAGTTCTAGAACCGTCAGCACACGCTAAAGAGCAAATGAATACACAGTGTGGTGGTGACACAGGAAGAGACTTCTGGAGCAAACCAGAGAGCACAGTCGATGACCTGGCCAGCTAGGACAAGGCGCAACTGGCCAGTCACCAGGGTGACACGGAAAACACCACGTTGACTTGATTACCGGCAACTGTGGGCTGTGGACCATGAAGCAGAAAGCTCTGGAGGATCCCGGGCCTGGAGCAGCTTCCAGGGGCCCAGCCCCGAGGAGTCGGAACCTGCACATAAGGCGTGGGAGACGCAGATTCCCCAAGGACTCTGCATGCTCTGTCCTCTTCATCACAGGGGGAAACTAAGGCTTACAACCAGGTGATTCCCACACTGACTGAGCAGCCCGTGTCCCGGCCGCACCTCCACAGACAGCAAGACCAGACGCTGCGCTGTATGAGGTGGCCGGCGCGCCCTCTCCCAGCCCTGCCCTGGCCCAAGTGGGCGTGCTGGATGTTTCCAGGTGCCGCCCCCACCCCATCCCCCGAAGGGCCAGGGACAGTGACTCCCTCCTGCTCTATCTTAGGTCAGATTTTCGTCCAGAGCGGTACAGATTTCCATCGGGACATTCCTCCCTCGGAGCCCTTCCTTTCATGTAAATGTTTTCCTTTTTGAGCCCTTATTTTAAAACAGCCCTGCAGGGGCTCTCTTAAGCCCGAAAGCATGTCCAGGCCTCGTGCATCTCTGCATCAGTGCAGGCCTGGCACTGCCTGCTAACAGCAGGTTCCTGCAAGCCTTGCCTCTGAGAGGCAAGTACAGACCCCGGGGGCCCACAGCCAGCTGGGGACAGAGTGGAACAGGACAGCCAGCTACACAGAGCCACAGCTGTGCTGGGTGGCAAGACCATAGTCTAGCTTGCCCTCTCCATGGTGCCCCTGCCCCAGAACAGTGGCAGAGGGCAGCTTCCCTGTACTGCATCCTGACTTCTGGCAGGAAGGTGCCAGTCATCACCAAGGGCTCTGGCTCAGCACATCACACGAACTTTCCCACAGGTTGCCCCTCCCCGGCAGGCAGGCATGACATCATTCCAGTGTTCTGAGCAGAGCAACTGTTTGGCCCTGGACGGCCAACCCATCTCACAGGCCAGAAAACTGAGGTCCAGACTGGTGAGAGACCTGCTCAAGGCCAAAGAGCTCACAGGGTCAGGGCTGAATGGGTCCAAAGCCTGAGCAAGTGCACTTGTGACCAATGAGCTTCTCCAACTCCACACTGGCCTCGGACCCCATCCCCTCACCCCCAAATGTCAGGACACTGACCCCCCTTACCTGTGTGTTGGTAACACACAGCGCCCAGGCCTCTCCCATCAGCCATCTCAGTGCTGGGGCAGCAGAAGCGACAGCACTGTTCTGACCAGGGGACACAATTTCATCACCACAGCATTGTGGATGCCTACTAATCTCAGTAATCAGTGTCCGTCTGTAAGACTGGACAACTCTCCCCTTCCACATGTGCATGCTAAGGGGCCATGGGTGAGATGGAGGAGAAAGTGCACCGCCAACTGCGGGGCACTGAAGAAAACTCCAGCTAAAAAAACAAACAGTTTCAGGAAAAAAAGAGATCTGGCACCAAGCATATCTCGCCATGGTCAAAGTGAAACCGCTTAGAGCAAAACCTCTGGTCAGTAAGGGATGAGTTTCCGGTTTCCTGAGGGTAGGCCAAGACGGTCTGGTTCAGAGATCGTTAGTTTAGGACAAAGCTGGTCCTGGCCATAGCTGGTCACAGGGACACTGAAGATCAAGAGGAACGCATGGAGAAAGGGCCTGCATCCACTCCCTCCTTCTTGACCAGTGCTACTGAGTCCAGATGGCAGCGACTCAAGGCAGAGGCAGCCCCAGCAGGGACTGCTGTGGCCTCAGACCAGCCCCCTCAATGACCCAGACATCCCCGCAGAACAAGGCCCTTGTCACCCTGGCTCTGACCTCCTACCCTGGTCTCCAGTCCCCGATGGCCAGCAAGGTGGGGGAGAGCATGCCATTGTGTAAGATCCCAAACTACGAATGTCCGGCATTCTTTTCCTGTGAGTGCCAAGGCATATTTTTATCCCATCAAAACATAAACGCCAGCACCAAGGAGCTCAGCTGAGGAGCTACCACTCCCAGAGAGGGCTACTGTGGCCACGCAGCCACTGAGACGTGCAGCAGAATGACCACATGTGACCTTCCACCCGGAATGCTCCATGCTCACTGCCCGGGCCAGCCCTTCCATCCGCTCTGCAAGGCAGCACCCCTCCACCTCAGCGCTAGAAGCCGAGATGACCAGAGATTCCACCTCTGTGACCCCAGCATGGGCGTCACCGAGACACCTGTGGGGTCACACATGAGGTATCCCTTGCAGTGGCATCCTTGGCACTGGCAGAGGGAAGACTAATGAAATTCATAGCATCCACAGGCACTAAAGGTGACACGCAGGAAGGACAGGGAAAACACTCACATGACACTGTTTAGCAGGGTTTAAAGCAGTATAAGACATTATCCTGGCTCTGTTTAGGTTGAAAGCAAATTTACCTGCAGGAACACACAGCAGAAAATCCCCCTCCCCCATTTTCATCTCCCTGTCTCTGGGTAAAGATTATAGGTGGTTTTATTTTATTCTCATAAAGTTCTATTTCCCTGATTTTCTTTAACGTACAATGTTCCCCCCCCCCCAGAAATACAGCAAAGTGCTATTTTAAAAGCCACCTGTTACCAAGCACTAAGGAAGGGGGCCCAGCAAGTCCTCAGACTGTGGTGCCCCCTCTGGCACGGCCCAACCTGGGCCTCTGGCGCAGGGCTCAAGACAAGGGCACAAAGCCCTTGGGAGCTCTCAGGTACCTATTTTTGCCCAAGAGTATTAAGGGCTGAACCAAGGAACATTCCAGCCTTACTACTGTGGCAAGGGGTACAGGAACACAGAGAGCAGAACCAGGCCTGCCGATTAGCAGGCATGGGCTGAGGGGATGTGCCCAAGAGAAGAGGGCGCACAGGGACAGTGAGTCAACAATGTGGCCAAAAGCTGTAGGGGCCTGGGATGTACCTGCTGGAGAGGGGGCTCAGGAAAGAGAGGCTCAGGGAATGCACAGCAGGTTCTTGATGCTACACCAGGCCTGGGTGATGCCTGCCCGCAGGCCAAGGGATGGCTATTTAAGATCCATCCTGGCTGACTGGAGTCCAGATGTTATCGGGGAGATCCTAAGAGGGCTGGGGGCCATCCAGGGAGAGGTGAGGGTCCTGGGTCAGGGCAGGCATTGGAGCAGAGACAGGTCAGAAACACAAACTGTGAGGTATGGAAGAAAACGAAGCCATTTCTCCCATGACCATGAAGAACAAGACACTGGGGTGGCCTGGCTTGTGGCTGGGGCTGCAGCCTACTTCCTCAGGTGGGGAGGGAGGAGGGAAGTCGCATCCTACAGAGAATACAGCACCCTGTCTACCTACCAGCGGCAATGCAGCCCCATCTGGCACCTGACACGCAGTGTAAGCATTTCTGGGGGCCAAGACTGGACTGGGTCCCCCTCTGTGACCAGCCCTAAAGGCCTGTCCAGCCCTGGCTTGGAAGGGGCAGGGGCAGCTAGAGCTGGAGGACTATGGCACTCTTCCTCATGGGAACAGAGGTGACGGGGGTCTCCCAGCCAGCCCTGCCAGGGTCTGTGGGAGGCACAAAGAAAACTGGTGGCATATAAAGGAACCCCTCCCAGATTCCTGCTCAGTGGCAAAGGGCTCCCTGGGCCCCTTTACAAAGGATGAGGTGGCTGTCTGGGCTGTAGGCTGCCCAGGGAACATGGGGCACAGTAGCTCTGAGTGATGTATCCTGGCAGAAAGCTAAGGCCTCTACAAACGTAGAGCCCTTGGCCAAATGCCAAAGTGAGGGCATTGTCCCAGGTGAGGGCAGGCGCACTTGCTAGGGCCCCAGATGTCTCAGGTCTCGCCTCCTCCTGTGCTGCCCCTGAGCCTCAGGCTTTTGGCAACAGTTGGGGCCTGTAACTCCTACCCCAGATGTTGAGAGGGTTAAAGATGAGGAGGGTGTGCGGTTCCTTGGAATTTCTTAACATCACCTACAAGAAATGGGTGAGGGGACACTGCTCTCTCACACCCAGAAGACTGGGCAGGATTTTCCGGAGAGCTGCACCTACTGGCCCGTAGTTAAATTCCCGAGGGCGGGGTCCATACCAGAGCCAGGTCACCGGGTCATCGGAGGGGCAGGTCCTACTAGACTGGGTTACACCAGGCAGAGTCCAGGGCTGCCCTGTCTTCCCCCCTGTACCCAGGGGTGCCCAAGGAAGAAAGGAACTGCCACATGGCCTCTAGGTAGGTGAGGGGCTTCAGGCGGGCCCAGCCCCTGGGTACTGAATCCCATCTGCCCCGCAGCCCTTTCTGGGGCCCGGTGCCTTCCAGCAAGCAGGTGGGCTCTAAGGCGGCTCTGGGTCCCCCAGCCTGTCGGGGGGCAGGGCATGACAGGGCAACTTGCAGGGAGGAGGCGCGGGCGTGTGCCCGCCGGCCGCCGGCCGCCGGCAGCCCCAGCCCACGCGCCTCTGGCCTCCGTCGGGACGTTCTCCCCGCCCTCAGGGGGATGTCGCGGGCGTGACGGTGCTGGGGGCGTGGGCCCGAGACGCCGGGACCCGGACTCGGCGAGGGGCGCGCGCTCCGGGAGACGCAAGCAGCGATCACTTCGGGCACCGGGGAGCGAGCTGTACTCGGGCCCTCCAACTTCTAGAACTTGCAGGGACATGGGCGCGGCCACCCATCCACTCTGAAGGGGACACTGAGGCCCGCGGCGGGCGGCGCCTCCCAGCAATCGGGACCTTCTTCAGCCCTCGCGCACTACCCGCAACCGGCTCAAGGCCTGCCCCTGCCCGGAAGCACTCACCAGCCGCGAGTGGGCCGCGCGGGGCTGTAACACCCTCGGGCCTCCAGGCGCGCCGCAAAGTTGCTCGGGAGCCGCGGGACGCGCGGGAGAGGAGAACCGCACACAGCAAGTAAAGCGGCCGAAGTGGAAGCCGGCGAGCTCTGCCCTGCGCGCCGGGGGGCGGGGCTGGGGGGCGGGGCCTCCTGCAGCCCTCCACTCCTGCTGCGGCTTCGGGGGCGCGGCTCCGGTTCAGCTCGCTGAGTGGTCAGAGAGCCCGCCAATCAACTTGAACTTCTACCAATCACGGCACGCCTCGCCTGCTGAGGCTGGCTCTCCTACAGAGCTAGAGGCTCCTGGGCATCTGGTGGGTGGGGCCACTCCAGCGAAAGTTTCCGAGCGGAATCGGGTCCCACCTGGCTTAGTCCCGGCCCAGCCCGTGGGAAGTCCAGCAGCCTAGCCAGACCCGGACAAGTGGTTGGGCCCACTGACAAGACTCGGTCCCACCTCCAATTCATTATATTTGCTGCTGTAAATGTTAACAAATATGTTTTGAGCGCTCGAATTTCGGTACTGCTGTACATACAGAAGGCTCTCCTGACACAGCAGCGGGGACAGAAAAAAAAGTTTTAAATCCACAAGATCAGATGCAACGGAACAGGCGTCCCAGGAGGGGATGGTGGCATGCAGGTAAAAGTCGGTGTTAGTCCAGGGAGGGATGCGATGAGTCCAGGCAGCTGGAGAGCTTCATTCTGTGTGTGAGGAGCATGGCTTGGAGAGAAGGGCGAAGGTCGGCGCTTGAGCCGGCGGGAAGGGAGGCCCCGTCGGCAGGCTCCACCTCTGGCCCCAGCAGCCAAGCCGGATGCCCTGCTGGGCTAGCGCTGCCCGGTCAGAGAGGGTGCAGCTCAGAGCTCTCACAGATCGGGAGATAATATTGGGGGATGGAGGGGCCGGCTCTGCCCACTGAACACACTTTCTCTCACACCTCGTCAAACTCCTCATCTGAGGAGTCTTTGCTTCTCTGGGTCCGGTTGTCTCCTGTGGCCCCTGGAGGCTCACAGAGGTGGGGAGGAAGCAGCACTGTGAAGCCTGGCACTCTCATTTCACACCAGGGACTCCAAGAGGCGGGTGACTCTGGACTCATTTTTATTATTAACAAAATTGTATTCACTGCTAGGGTGTTGCAGGATGTTACAGCACATGTGCGCATTGTGCGGTGTTGAGATCAGAGTGAACACATCTCTCTCGCGCCCTGGTCACTCCTTTACTGGAAAAGCATTCAAGCACCCTTTAGCCTTCTGCCACACACAGGTCATTTTCATTGTCTGCAGCCAGCTGACCATGCCATAGTACATCAGAAGGAATCGCCATCTAGCCATAAAGGTGCTCATTTGTCGGCCTTTGTCCTTCCTTCCCTTCAAGCCATAGCTTGGTTACTGCTTGTTTCTTAACTTTTGTTTTGTTGATGAGTAGGGGAATGGGACTCAGGGTCTCTGCACACTAGTAAGAGTTCTACTACTGAGCTGCTGGGGATTGAACTCAGGCCCTTGCGCTTGCCAGGCAAGCGCTTATTCAACGGAGCTATCTCCCCAGCTGTTATCTTTTGAGATTTTTGGAGCTCTCTTTTGGGTTTCTTTGTTTCAGCCCACCTATCCTGCCCTGCAGCTAGGAGGGCTGGGCCCCACCTCTGTGTCATCCTCAGCCCAGCCTGGGGACCAGCAGCCCCATTCGTACTTGCAAGGCTACCCCTCCCCCAGCAATGAACAGTGATTTTTCTGACTTCTTTTTTGTTGTCTACAAGAAAGTTCTTCAGCTTCACAGCCCGCCTGCTACTGTTGGTCACTGCCCAGGGGACCGCAGCAGCTGATGCCTAGGCAACACAGGATGACTGTGTCAATTTTTTTTTTTTTTAATTCAAAGAGAGAATAACCAAGCTGAAGACAAATTAGCAAAGTGAAAAGTAACTTTGAGTCAACACAGCGTGAAGGAAAATCATCTTATAAAGGGAGGAGGACTTGAAAGGCAGCCCCAGGAAGGGTATCATGCAGTGGGCAGGAGTCCAGAGAGAGCCGGAGGGGAAATACAAATTAAAGAATGTTGTGCAATGTCCCGGAGCTGAGCTATGCTGTGGTTCCAAACCAAGATCCAGAGAAAGCCTTGCGAAATTTCAGACCAGGTCGCATCCAGAGAAAGGAGAATCTGAGTGCACCAGATTCCTAGGGGATTCCAGAACCACATCCAGGTACTCTGGCTGTATGATCAAGGGTTCTTTCCCAAGCTCTGTCCAGGGAAAAAAGGAATATATCCAACCCTGGAAGACAGAGAGAAGGCGCAGCTCTGCCTCTTTTCAGAGGAAAGACAGCCGTGCAGCTCCCTTCTCACAGGCACAGCCCAGTCACAGCAGAGACGGAGTTAGAGCAGGGGCCCAGAACAGGAAGTGGTGGAAAGTAACAACCCTTGCCAGATGGTCTGACCTAAGAGCGCCTGTGATTTTGTGCTGTGCTTGCTAGGTGAACACTCTGGAAATGTAAGCCACGTGCTGTGGGGGAGATCCGTATTAGCTGGAAAACACTATACAAACTCTGTCTTGTCATGGAGGAGGCGGAACAGGCCACGCTCACCTCTGGTCGAAGGAGAAGCAGAGTCAGAGGGTCTGACGTGGCACAGAGAAGGGCCAGGGAGGGAAGCTCAGGCCGCACACCCTGTCATTTACTTCCAGTACCTTCCCGGGGAATGAAAGCTTGAGTAGGACTCGCAGAAGCTGGAAATTAGCCACTAGGGAAAAGAAGCAGAGAGCTGGTGGATTGGTGGCGGAATCTGAGGGAGGGCTGGCAAATTGGGAAGAAAATTGAGGAAGGGGGAAAAAGAGCATGTAACAGCCACACTACCTTAGTCCATCATAAAGAAGCAACGTGAGCTGAAGTAAGTGGCCTGTGAGCGGCAGCTTTCAGAGTAAATGAGAATGGGCTGAATTTCCCAGCAAAAGGCTGTAAAATGGGAATTAAAAATTAAAATCCAGGTTTAAGGGCTATTTTCAACCAACACATTGAAAGTGTGTTGGACAAAAAAAATTAGAAACAATGGACAAATAGAAGTTCAAAGGGGACATTTGAAAACTGTAATCAAAACACAACATGCATAATCCATAATCCATGAATGGTGGCTAAGGAGGACGAAGATAGAAAGCACTTACCAAAGGACATTGTGTCACGGCACAGGCCGATCCGCAGAGATTCAGTGGTCGTAAACCTCAACAGGCCAGAACATCTGGCAGAGATGAACACGCTAAGCATAACAGCTGGGGACACTCAGAGGGCTCAGGAAAGCTCAGTCCTGTGCAGGAAAGCTCCTGTCCAGTGCCGTCACTCCGAGTCCTGTCCTCCTCCCCACGAAGCTGAGTCTGCACTCTTCTGTTGAGGAATAAGTGAATGAATGAATGCATAATTAAGTGAGTGGATGACAGCCTCTTCTGATCTCTTTCTCGCCTGTAGGACAAGGCCCAAACTCTTTAATTCACATCCAAATATGCCTCCTACAACCTCACTCCTGATTGCTTCCACAATTTCAGATTCTGTCTCCATGACCCTGTCCCACTTCCGTTTACTCAACAAACACTGATTGGCTCTTCTTTGCCAGTTCCAGGTGGTAAGCTACACACTGGGCTTAGAAAGGAAAACAGGCAGAGGCTCCGTGGGCTCCCATCTCCTGTCCAGACCCCTGGAGAACCAGCCACACAATGCCTCTGAGGTGCCAGGTCCTGATTCCTGGATCCTGTGGCATGACCTCCTTTTGAAAAAAGGCTTTGGCCAATCTGATTAAGTTAAGGATTTAACCCGGGTTACTGGATGGGCCCTGATTCTGAATGCCCTTGCAGGAGCAGCAGAGGGACAGTTGGCCATGCACAGAGGAGAAGGTGGTGTGAAGACAGAGCAGAGATGGCTGAAGGCCCTGGCCTTGGAATGATGTGGCCACAAGCCAATGGGAGCTAGCTGCGACTGGAAGCCAGAAGAGGCAAGGAACAGATTCTCTCCAATTTGGGCCTCGCAATACTGATTTCAGACTTCAGACCCGCAGAATGGTGAGAACACATTCCCCTTGTTCTGTGCTGCGTTGGGGCAGTGAGTGACTGTAGGCACAGGAAGCACATACAGTCATGTGATGCCAGGACTGTGGTTTCGCTATGATCTGGCTTCTCCAGGATGAGCCTGGGTGGCACAGGGCAATCCCAACCCTTGGCAGGGTGGCCTGAGTGAAAACCGAACCAACTCCTTGACATGTAAGCAGGTACCCATCCATCCAAGGAGTCCAGGCACCGGATCAGCTGCGCATTGTTTCGAGAGCCGAGAGCCCTGCGTCCGCCTGCCCGCCCTCGCGTCTGAGTCCTAGCAGAATGAACAGCTGCATTGGGCGTGGACTGTGGCCCCCAAGTGACCAGGTTGCAGGCTCCAGAGACTCGCGGTCCTCGGGGCGCTGCAACATCCTGTGACCTATAGTTCTAACGGGATAAGAGCACCACATGGGGGTGTTCGGACTCCGGGGGACCCCTGCATCCAGGTGCCAGCCCAGTAATCTGCAATGTAACAGGGCCTCAGGGGACAAAGGGACACTTGCTCCTCCAGTTGCACAGCCAGCTATTGACATTAGGGGTCCTGCCTAGCACCAGGGCTTGGACATAGGCTAGGGGTGCAGAACCCAGTACCCCAGTCCAGATGAACCCAGTACCCCAGCCCAGATCCCGAAGTTGAAGTGCACAGCGACAAGGCCCAGATGCAGAGGCGTGAGAGTGTCGGAGAAGCCTTGCAGGGCTGAGCGCCTCTCTGAGGGTCTCAGGCAGCACACAGAACCACCCGCAAAGCTGTGTCCCAGTCTAGATTCCTGGGAGTCCTGGGCCAGCAGGGGCAGGTGGGCTGTGCAGTGCCCCAGGGATTTAAGCACTGGGTCTCATCAGCTGGTGGCTGTGCTCTGGCCTCAACCCCTGACTCCCAAGTCACCCACCTGTCTCTCCTTCGGAAACCAGAGCTGCACCCTCACCAGTCCCCTGGGAACTGCAGTGTGATTGGAGTGCTAGTGGAGGGAGCTCTGGAGGTTGGGGGGCGGGTGGCTGGTCCCGGTCACATGGTGCTGCGTCACAGTGAGGGAAGGGGGAGCATCCTGCTACCACCTCCACTCTGCCCCGAGTGCATTGTTTCAAGAGCCCTGCGTCCGCCCGCTCGCCCTCGCGTCTGAGTCGTGATTTACTCATCCCCGAGGGCAGACAGCGCCTGCCACCCAGCGCCTCACTGTGAGTCACAGGCACTCTGGGAAGCTTCACGTGGAATCTGAGAACTTGGAGAACTTGGAGAAGGATGGTTGTGGCATGGAGAGCGAACATGGGCCTCCCCACGTTCCCGAAGACCACGGAGGCCTCGCAGAGCCGAGATCCGGTGCTGTCAGCCCTTACCTGCTGGCCCGGTGACAGCACAGCACACCATAGGGCCTGGTCACGTGTCAGTGACCATGTACTGGTGGCCAGGTCCTCAGCTGTGTCTGCACACAGAAGAAAATCCAGTCGGCCGGCACCTAGCACTGGGCATCCCGACGCTGCCTGGACCTCAGCAGGGGCGTGAAGGGTGCTGGTTGCAACCTACCGCACACTGTCACAGGCCTCCCAGAGCACCAGGGCAAGAAGTAAAGGGTCCATGGCATGCTCCACTCCAGCAGGAGAGCAGACCTGGCAGCCAGGGACAGTAGCCGCCCCCACAGGGGAGGAGCCCTACAGGCTGCGGCTTCCTGGCAGTAGTCCTGGCAGGCTTCCTGGAGTACCGACTTTACTCCATCGCACTCACTTTTTTTTTTTGTCTTTTTGAGATAGGGTCTCACGATGCAGCTCAGGCTGGCCTTGAGCTCACTACCCCAGGCTGGCCTCCAACTTGCAACGATCCTCCTGCCTCAGCCTCCCAAGTGCTGGGATCATCTCTTTTTTAAAAAAGATTTATTTATTTATTATCTTGTTATTTGTAATGTATTTGTTGCAGGGTCTCACTATGCAGCTGGGACTCATGGCTATCCTCCTGCTTTCAGCCTCCCTAGTGCTAGGATTACAGGCGTGTGTCACTACGCCCAAACTCTGGCCAGCTCAGCCTGCCCTGGGGGCAAGGCCGGCAAGGCACGTGGTGCCGGGAATCAAACTGCCATTCCTGTACTTGCCTGAGCTTGCCTAAGCAGGCGCTTTAGACCACCGATCTATCTCACCAGTCCTGGGATTTACTGGTTTTTTTTAACCACATTTCATAAAGATACTCATGAAAGAGGACTCCAGAGCAGCTGCAGAAAGTGGCAAGGACGATGGGATGAGTGTGTTGAGGAGGGAGGACTTGGAGGGAGCATTCCTGGCGGTGTGTGTGTTTACTATAATAATTCTGTACGAGAATCACTCACGGTGTTTTTGATCCCCCTTGTATGTGGTGACATGCATCGCACAGCAGTGCCACTGCCCTGACTCCTCTTTGCGCTGCTGTCCAGTCCACCTCAGCCCCGCCACCCTGACGCCTGGCTGCTCCACCGTGCCCGCTCTCTGGACGCCTGGGTGTGGGGCTCCACGGTGTGGAGCCTTTCCAGCTGCCTCTTTCTCAGTCACCCACAGTGAGCTCCTTCCTCACCCCTCCAAGCTGCGGGGCCCTTCCTCGCTGGCACTGAATACCAGCCCAGCACCTGGTGTATGGCACCTTTCTCTTCACTCCTCCACTGGCAGGCATCCCCCTGGCTCCCAAGAGCGGCCGCCTTTCTGCCAGAGCACTGGGCGCGGGCTGGGTCCTTCATGGTCTGGCTCAGGTGATGGGCTGAGAGGCACTGGAATTCCCCGCCCCCCTCCTCTCACCCACTGAATGCACCCTGCACCCCAGGGCTGTGGGGGGCCTGGGAGCTGCCCCATGGAGATGTGCCCAGCACAAGGCGGGACTGCTGGAGGCCCATCTCCTCTACCCCCCCTCGCACCAGGAGCCACAGCACCTCTTCCTGAATGTTTCTAACACCTCGTGCACCCTATGGCACAGGGCAGTCCTGCGGGTAGGCATGGTCATAGGGTACAGCGAGTCACCATGGGTCATTTCGTTGGTCTGACTGTCCCCAACCTCTGCTGTGGCAACGTGCCACAAACTCTCACCACCCACATCTGCAACCCACCCACAGCAGCTGGCAGGCTTCAGGTGGCTCTGAGGAAGGTAACACACGTGTCCCCAGGGCCTGTTCTGAGCACGCACCCAGGGTGTGGGTGGGAGCAGGGGGCGGTAGCAGTGTCTCTTCCCGCTCCACTCCTGGGAAGCGTTTTCAGCCTCTGTCCCTCATGTCATCTTTCTAAAACTCAGCTGGTGGGAGAAGGAACTTCTTGTTCAATTTAGCAGAAACAATAGAACAAAGTCTTCGCGTCACCAGCCCTTAGGAGCTGTCAGGCGGAGGGAAAATTACCCAACTCAGAATCCTCCCCAAACTTTCTGGCCCCCCGCGTGGCCTGGCACCTGCTGTCACAGCGACACAGACACGTGATTTCACAGAGTTGGGCCCACAGCGCTGCTGAGCTAGTGGGAGGCTTTTGCATAGGACAGCAAGGGAGATCAGGTTTTTGACAATCGTTAGAACTATACATTACCCAGAGAGCTTCCTGTGAAGTTCTCTTTTCCTCCTTTTTTTTTTTTTTTTTTTGATGCAATGAAAACTGTCACACTTGGCTGCAGTCTGCACTGTGAGGTGCCAGAGGGCCTCTGGGGAGAAGAAGGGGAGGAAGATGGGGACAGGAACGATCTGCTCTCACCTGGGGGTGCTACTGCGGGGGGAGCGCTGGAATGCTGCACGAATCGACTGTATTCCAAGTTTTTCCTGGAGAAAATATAGCCCGGGTGGTGCTTTCAGCTCTGCTGGCCTTTGTCCTGTCCTGATGGGAGTGAGAAGCCTCCATTCCCAGGGTACACCTACCCTTCATCCCCAAGCAAAGAGGAAGACAGCCTGGCTCCATGTGAGAGAAGAGATCCCCAGAAGGACCTGGGGACCCCTGACAGCAGCCTCAGGGACAGGGCCCAGGTCTCTTGCAGTGGCACATGCATAGTCGACATGTGTGAGGAGGACTGTGGGGTCCAGACATAGCCTGTGGACAGCTGGGACTGGGAACCTTTCAATCCAGGTCTTACAGAGGGGACAGCTGCCAGCCAGGCATCATCCTCCCTTTTTGATGGTTAAGGAGACAGATCCATGAAGTCGCTTGTCCAGGGTCCCAGGTGCTGGGTGGCAGGACTCAGACCCAGCAATGAGACTGAGATCCCCCTGCAGGCTGCCGTCCCCCCACCTGGGGGCCACCCAGAGGTGTATTGAGCAAAACTTCAGAGGGTTTGGAGAACTGCAAAGTCTTATAAACTCGTGGTCCTACAGATGGGCATAGGAAAGGCCTGTGGGACAACTGAGCTCCTTCACTGGACGCTGTGGGAATCCGCCTCAGGAACGGGTGGATAAATAATGCGGTGGGGAGTGAGTGCACCGGGGGCCATCCTCCTTGTTGCTCCGAGGTCCTCTTCAAGTGCTCGCCCTGACCATGGCGGCCACTCTCTTGGCCATCTCTTTCCAGCCGTAGGCCGCCTGTGGCCTGGAGGTGCACGTTAATGCTATTACTCATGCGTGAGTGAAGGAGTGGCAGCCAGTCCTCCTTTCTCATGGTGGTCCGGCTGACCCAGATCCTGGCGTATGTTGGTCTCCATAGGTTTTCCTGAGCAGGCTTGGGTATTATCTGAATAAATGGAAACCAGAGTAAACCAAGAGAGCCCTAGCAGTTGTCAGAAATCACCAGAAGGACACCGAGGTGTGCTGGCCTGTGTTTAGGGTTCACCATGTCCCTAGGTGCATGCTTTGGAGGCCCGCAGCAGCCGCTCCCGGCTTGGTTGTGCAGTGTGGGTTGTCCTTCTTGGGCCTGAGGTGGGGTCCATCTCACCCCCAAAGTGTCCTCAGCAGGGCTGCCTGCTGCCCTGGGGCCCTGCACTGCCAGGTGTTGGCTTGTGCACATGGCCACCTGCTCGCCTTGGGGCAGCAGGAGCAGCGAGGTGTCTGCTTTCTACGTTCAGTGTTCGGTACAGGAACAGATGCTTTCGTTCACAGTCAGAAGTTTTGTGGGGGCCAAGGAGAGTGGGAATTCAGAGACAAAGGGGGTATTTTGGCCTGGGGTACAGAAAGCGCATCCAACAGCATCAGATCTCTTCCTGCACTGAGCCCAGCAGCCCTCCAGCCTGGCCCAGCTGCCCTGGGCCCCGCCTCCTTCTGCTTTCATCTCTCGGATCTTGTGGGTCCTGGTGCAAACTGAGCCCTCGGGCCTTGCGGCCCTCTGCCCCCCCGATGGTCCTGACTCCCCCCCAGCTGCCTCAGTGCAGGCTCCACCAAGCCAGCGTCCCCTGGGACTTGCTGCTGGCCTGCTGGGTTTGCCTGTTTGCTTACTGCTGCCCCCAGTGTCTGGAGCGATGCACGGTGGCTCTGCCAGTGGAGGGGAAAGGCTTAGAGACAGCATGACAGAGGGTGTCCCACCCAGGAAGGTGGCTTCCATACCTGCAGGATGGCAAGTGTCAGGCTGAGCGACGTAGATGTCAACTGCCCCGAGGCCCAGGAGCTGCTCCGAGGTTTTCAGCAGGAGTGGCCAGGACCTAGCTGTGTCCCAGGATGACAGCAAACCAGAGTCACCAGCTAATGTGTCCAGGGCCAAGCAGAGCAGTGAGGAGGACAGCCTGCTCATCTAAGCATGCATTTATTTATTATTTATTTATTTTACTTATGAGACAAGATCTTGCTTTGTAGTTCAGGCTGGGCTCAAATTCACAGAAATCTCTTGTCTCAGCCTCTTGAGTGCTGGGATTACAGGTATGTGCCACCATGCCCAACCGCTGCTCTTGTTAACTCGACAAAACTCCACGAGCATTAGGACCGTGGGGAAACTTCAGCCTTGCCCTGCTCTGCAAGCCTCGAGCCCTGCACTGGGCAGCAGGCCCTGGGCGCTGAGAAGCCAAGTGGCTCTGGGCGCTGGCCTTGCAAGGAGGCCACAGTGTTGGGCTGCTGCCGTGGGCTCTCGGGCACTGGGGTGGATGTGCCCTGCCCTGGACTTGAGTTTCCCCATCTGTGCTCTTCTGAGGTGACTGCCCTGCATCACCTTGTACCTCTCCGACCAGCCTCACACTGCCGGACACCAGTGTGCATGGCCCTTGGAATCTTGGGGACCTACAGCTCTGGCTGGCCAGGTACCCTTTTCCAGGAACAGGGTGCTGTGGGGAGGGATTCCAGGTAGACTGGGTAGGGAGGAGCAATCGGTCGAGCTTGGCCCTGGCACTTGGTCACGCTTCCGGGAGACACATGGAATCACCAATCTGGGCTCTGGTGTCCCCTCGTGGCCGAACTTTGAATAACAGTTAGGACCAGATCCGTGGCGCCCGGGACTTGGGGCTGACGCTCCCAGCAGATCCTCCTGCAGCGCCTAGTTGGTTGGGGGTGAGTTCAGACTTTGCATTCATAACCCGCACCCTGGCGATGTGGGTGGCGCTGGTGGCACGT